CTTGCTGTGGCCTTCTTCAGTGCTATACTGCTTATTAAGATCATTTCACACTGAGGTTACCCTTCGGGAAATCGGAATAACGGTTCAATGCGACACTTGTTTACTTTCACATATTCTACGTAGTACAGAGAATATTGATTGTTTAGCGATTCCTGGAGCGTCAACTTCTAAGGTCATGAGTGCAAGAAGTATTTATCCTCGTTATGTAAGTGGCGGTGATCTTCCAAAGCTGGCTGGCGAGATTCGGCTTCCAACTACGTCGGCTTACGGGGAGTTACATAACAAGGTATTTCCCACTTGCGTGGAACCGTTCCAGCCGGGACAAGCTCTAAGCTCTTGATTGGTCTCCCGACATATGTGATAGTCTAGTGCGTGTGAGAGTGTAAGTAAGGGGTGAGGAAAGGACAAAAAATAGGAATAGGATAGGGTCCGTTTGTGAGGGTACTACCCCAGACTTTGCCTGAAATCCAGCGGAGAAACAATGAAAAACTACCGATTAGAGAAGCGGGATGCTAGAATTCCCCTCCAGACAACGGCTAATTAGACCCAGCTGATAAGTCAGTGTTGAAAATCATGCCACTGTCCGAATTCGAACCTTCCGATTATAGTCACTTCAGGGACAGTGCCTATTTTCCACAGAAAAATTTGTGCTGTGTCTGCTTGATAGAGAAAATGTGTATATTTCTTCATATATTTTATATATTTAGTAGTCTACTTCTAGACATACTACAACCAGCTGAAATGCCTCTAGGGGGTCCTAAAGTTCCACTTTCGATGGTAGAGGACATTTCACACTGCCTTTGAAGCGATATAAATTAAACCCTTCTATGGCGGAGAATTCTGGTGGCCGAATACTCTGATCCGGTTTTCCGAGATTTCTCCGATCATTGTGCCTGCGACTGAAAAATCGTCTCCTATATAATAACCGATTTATGCAGATTTTTGGGTGCTGAAATCATTAAAAAATCCACAAATTCTACCATCCATCATTTTCGCACAGTTAGTATTTTCATTGATAGGTACGCAGAAAAAGTTGTATATGTTGTTATCTATATAACAGAAGTTTTGAAATTTTTTTATCGAGAAAAACATTATTTAAACAAAGAAAAAGCGATCGACGGGAAGTCGATGATACGTAACTGTGACGCTGTGACGATTGACACGTTAACCCCATGCACGAGAGGGATTTCCTCAAGGCTTTACTCGAACAGTCCAAGCCTTGTGGAATTTCTCAACGTGTGTGGCGGTTTCCTTGAGGCCGGCGGAGGAGGCGAGAGGCCCGAACCAATCCAATTATTTTAAGCCCTCGAGGGCGGATTTCCCGAACTCTTGATCACGTGTGTGGTTGATTTTCAGTCATTCTTGAGGATTTCATCAGTCATGTCTAGCGATGTTTTAACAGAATTTATCCAAATGCTTGAGAAATAATTCTGCTTGTGACTAGTTAGTTTTAAATTTTATCATCATCGAAAGAAAAAGGACTGAAGTACTGTGTTGATCTGGAAAAAATCCTGAAGCATTTTTTCTGGAGAATTTCCTTCCGGAAAAAACTGTCCATGTATGGGCACGAGTTAGATATTGAAAAACCCCAAAGCAATGCTGGAAGCTTTTGTCTGGAGGATTTCCTGTGCATGCAAGGCTACCTTTAAGATGGCAGGCAGCTTACTTACACGAAGACGGTGAGGGGCACCTGCTCGTCCAGAAGGCAGAAGAGGACTGAGGATTTCCCGTATGTGAATGACTACCTTACAGGGGTCAGGTCGTTTACCTCTACGAAGACGGCGGAGGCCTCGTGCTCGTCCAGCAGGCAGAAGCCCCTGGCGCGCAGGCCGGGCGCCGGGCCTTCGCTGAGGGCGCGCAGCAGGGCCACGTAGTCGGCGACGCGGTCCGCGGGGGCGGCTGCCGCAGCGCTCAGCAGCGAGCGCACGCTGTTTGCGTTGCGGCCCGCGGCCAGGGCCAGGCGCGGCACGCCCGCGGGCGGCGGCGGCGGGGGCGGCCTGGCCGGCAGCGGCCGCAGCACCAGATGGCCGTTGGTGCCGCCCAGGCCGGAGTTGCTCAGCGCCAGCAGCTGCCCGCGCTCCCACGGCGTCACCTCCGTCACGACCTGCGGGCCATCCCACGAGCGACTGTTACACGCAGACAAGATTCTGTCTTACACGCACGTTTTCTTACATTCCCACGCAGCATTAGTTGAATTAAAAATAAACGAGCGTTTTTGCAAAATCTGATTACCAGAAATGTTTTATCCCATGTAATTGAAACTATTATCAACCGAAAAACGAGTCGCAGATTTGATATAATATTTCTGGGCAAAAATTAGCACTGTGATTGTACACAGCAATTGTAATAATCTTTGGTTCTAAAAAATGAGGAGTGTCTGAGCGTCTCGAGAGGTAAATATGAGAATATAATGCAAATATCTGTTTATTTTTCTGAACATTTTTATTATCACAATAGTAAACTATTGTGGTAATTTCCCTTTAATTTTGAAGTCGGTGAATAGGAGATTAGTTGCATAATAAATAGGTTTTTAGGCAAATTTTGATTATACATTTTTGGAGCAGATTTATGGGTGTTAAGATAGATTTACAAGCTCCTCCCCCAGCCAATAAATCCATACTGATATCTAATTGAAATAATGCAAAATAGACTAAACGTAAAAGGTTAGGTGGGAAGTAGGAGCCTATGATCAAACATTTGTAAATGGCCTTCCCTAATCTAGGACAATGAAAATCAACATGTATGTTCCATTTTAAGTGTTGATCTATGAAAATACCTAAATATTTAACATAAAACCTGTGTAAGGAGGGGCAGTAACATTCATCTAAAACTAGGCAATGTGCATCATGAATTTGTATTGAGCTTATTCCCAATTAGCTGTTGCCCTGTAGAAGTTATGGAAAATGTAATAAAAATGGACTTTGAAGTACTTAGCGATAATAAGTTTGCCAAGTAAGCCTTTTTTTAGTTTCTTAATCATTAGACATTACTGTACGTCCCATTCATGATTTACCAATGTTAAAAATGACAGTATCATCAGCATAGCAAACTATGGATCCACGATTCTTTTGAGTATGAGATTCTAGCAGATCATTAATAGATATTAAAAATAATATAGGTCCCAAAATTGTTCCCTGAGCTAATCCTATGGAGATGCTCATGGTTTGACTTAATTAATTTTGAATTTTCACTACTTGAGTACTATCACTTAAAAACTATTGCAACAACTTTAATACATTCTCCCTCATTCCCGTTGAAATCACTTTTTTCATTAATATATCATGATTAACTGAGCTGAAAGCTTTTCTTAGATCTAGAAAGGTGTCTAGACATTTGTTTCCGACGTCCAGTTCTTGTAGAATTTTGTGAGTGATATATATACATCATAACTGAGGTTATTATGAAATCCATTCTGATTTAAGGAAAATTGATAATGCATTTTTCTAATAATTTGGTTATACGATGGCAATAATGATATAGGTCTATAATTATTCACATTATTTTTGTTACTTGTTTTACGGATGGATACAACTACTGCACGTTTGAAAATTTTAGTATAAATTCCCTGCAAGAAGCATAAATCAAAAACGTGAGCAAGTGGTTTTGAGAGAGGATCAATTAATTTTTTTATTATCGATGATTCAATTCCGCCAATTTCTGGAGCAACATTTGACGTTAAGGAGCTGGCAACATTAACAATATCTTTATCTGTTACTGGATGCAGAATCATGGAAACCGAAGAATGACCAATGAAGTTTTCGGAGTTACTATTTTTGTTATATTTAATTTTTGATGCTATATTATGAGCAACATTTGAAAAGTAATTATTGAATTCATTAGCAATTTCATTTGTGTTTTCTGTTGGATTGCCATTACGAGATATTACTTCATTTATTTAATTTCTTAATTTTCATTAACATCAGTAGCCAAAATTTAATGGTTTGCCAAAATTTCTTAGGTTTGTTAATACAGGATTTAAACTTTTTTCATAGTTTTGCTTTTCTTAAAACCGAAGTTACAATATTTCTGAATTTATTGTATTTATACTTAATTCAGAGTTCAAGGGTATTTTATTTAGTTTTTTTAATTAGCGTATCTCCAGTACGTATTGACTGAATGATACCTATCATGATCCATGGTTTCAATTGTCTAAATTTGCTAGCTTGTACCGTATATATGCTTACTGAATGTTTCGTTATGTATTCTTTGAGAATTGTGTGGAAATTCTCTGCATTTTGCTCATCATCATCTGAATTGAGAACATTTTCCGATACTTCGTTTTTATATCTGTTACAAGATCTTCATTGCTGATTTTAAAAGAATGGAGTGTTGATCTGCTTACACTATTTTGTTGATTAGATTAAGAAAAGTAAAAACAGCAAATATGTAATAGTGGTCTGTGATGGAGCTGCAATACACTCCAGTCGAAAATATAGTACTTCTATTCACGCATTTTAAAAACGTGTGATCAAGACATGAACAATTAATAGATGGTCTAGTTATGGCATTTAAGAAGTGTACAAAACCATATTCATGCATAATATCCATGCACCTATATATAGGACGATCTAGCTAATTTCCACATATTTGAATATTGATATCTCCTGCAATAAAGTGGTTTTTAATGTGTCGAAAGATGTTTAAAAATTATTCAAGTTTATCCAAAAAAAGAACAACGTTTAATTTTGGAGATTTATAAATTGCCGATAATTCTATGCTGATAAGGAAACATATGTTTTGGCAAAAGGAATTATAAACTTGATCTTATAACATTGCTAACAAAATAGCAACCCTCCGTCGGATTCTACTCCTACAACTAGCAAAATGAGACCTCAACAAAACGTGCACATTGTGAAACTACATTTATGTGCAGATGCAAACCAAGGAATAATTTCAGTATTTGTCCAATGCATCAGGGAAACTGGACAAATAAACCAATCGAAATGGGGGTCACTGGTCCAGAAGCTGAATTACATTATTTATCACAGGCCTATTTAGTCTATTAAAATTGTTCAGTAAAAATGTTAACTAATTAGTTCAATATCGTTAAAATAAACTATTTTATTCTTCGATTCTCAGTGTATTAAGTATGTAGAACCTGTTGGGCAGTAAAATATATTTTACTTAGCACTTAAACTCGCGTGTAAATTCTGTTGTCATCTGGCAATGAATTGTAATGTAATGTTGTATATTTACATGTCGATGTTGTGCTCACCTTTATCCTCCCAGTGTTGAGGGCCTCGATGTCCTTCCTGGGCACGAGGAAGTTGACGTTCGGGGGGATGAGGTTGGTCTGCAGGATGACGATGAGCTTGGCGAGCGACAGCAGGCCGCTGGCGCCCTCCGCGTGGCCCGCGTTGGACTTGACGGTGCCGACGAGAAGCGGCTCTGAGCGCCGGCCCTCCTTGAAGAACACCTGGTCCACGGCGGCCGCCTCCTGCGGATCTCCGGCCTGCCGCACAAGGGATTGAGTGCATGATTGGCGTTTCCGGGCGCGTCAACTGCTATGGTCATTAGTCTCGTACGCGTAGTGCGTGATTTATCATGGAGATGGCGATGATCTTGCTGGATGGTGAGTTTCAGCGCCGACCTACACATCGACTTGCGGGCTTATTCCCAATCGGAATCTCCCTTCAGCGAGACACAACGAGGCAAGATAAGTGTATAAGGGAAAGTGAGAGTAGGACAAGGAAGAGTAAGGAAAGATCGCGTTCGGGCAGTGGTCTGTTTGTTAGTGGACTGCTCCGACTTCGCCTGGTGTTGACCGCAAACCAAACGTGCCTATTTCATTTACATTACCGGGAGCTGACTTAGTTGTCGCGTAGTTTCTGCTTGAAATAAAAACAATTAAAAAACATTCTCAAAAACTTCTCCAATTTTTTTCTTTACACATTTTCTGAGGATAGGACAAGGGAGGCTTAAAATAATGCTGCACGTCTAATTTTCGTGGACTCTGCGTTTTTGATAATTACAAAGGTTTGAAATAATGCGAGGAAGTGTGTACTGTGGAAGCATCACTTTCATCTCAGATAGGGCAAGTAGCTAACATAGCAACTATTTATAATAAAAGGGTGGGAAAGAAATTCTAATGCTAGATGCTCTCGTGGCTCAGTGACGACGTCCACATGAATTTACGGAAGATTACTCCACGATGCGCTCAACGCTCCTAAGAGCTAGAAGGTGCGTTGCGTGTATACAAACGGAACAATTAAAAAAATTAAAACGTGTGTAGATAGTTTTTTTCTCCGCAGGCCACATTTACGAAATAGTGTTTATTTAAGTTAAATTTACACATATACGATTTTTAGTTTTATTTACGAAAATAAATTAAATTATATCATATGGTAAGGGTTATAAAATTGTTTTCATTACCATAAACATATGATCTTCAGTATTGCCATGTAATTATAGTATAGATACTGCGCAATTTGATAATAAAAATAATGTAGGGCCGTAATAAATAAATTGTGATTCATAATTGTATTTTTAGGTAATGCGTTTTTTCTACTTTTCTCTGGGAATATGAATAATAATCTATTACTTTAAATGCAGTATTTATTCTGGAAGTAGTGAAAATTGTGAATTGTAAATTATTTTTTCTTAGTTTCTTTAAAACACTATCATTCATTTGAGTATCCCTCCGTACCATTAAAGCATCATTAAAGGAAAACTAAGCACACAACTGGGAAAATATTTTGCAATTTTAGCAAACCATTTTTATGTTGAAATTATTATTGGCATGAAGATTACAGAACAAAATTAGACAAAAATGAGTAATGATAATCTTTTGTCTCTCCTGTGAAATTCCCATTATAGTGGATAAAATGTTTTGTATATCAACCATCTGTATGCTTCGTTGAGGGATACCAGACGTCTGTCTTCCGTCTGTCCCGGTGTCCCAAAAAAATAAATTTCGGGACGACAAATGTCCGGTGCATCCTCTGAGTCTGAATTTATAATGCAGGTCTTTATGTTCATTAGGGCTCTATAAACAGTTTATACTCTTCGAGTTACACATTAAGTCGTTTGACACTAGATCAGCTGTGACGCTGTTATCTAATTGGGAGCTTGAACGTCATTAAATTAATGTTTTATTGAAATATAGCGCTTTAGTGTTCGCTACCGTCGCGTCGCCATTAGCCGACAGAGCAAAGTACTTTTGCTTTCATCCAAAAACTGTGTGAGTGTACCGTTCTAGGTAATGATCACTTAGTTGTAGACGTGCATGAAGTTGAAGGGGATTGTAAATTCTGTCTCACCCTCCCTGGTCATAATGTCTCAGTAGAACGCGTTTCTTTATATGAATTAGTTATGCTCCAAAGAGAGGAACAGCCTTAGCTTACAAGCAGTATGTGTAATGTTAACTGCTAAAACTCGCTTTAAGCACGTGTTCTGATTTTTAATCTCATTTCCAAAAATCATACGCTGTTGCAGAAAGTTCATTGTTCAGAGAAGTACTCCTGGTGACAAAACAGTGGATCTGATTGAGCGTTCAGCCTCCAAACTGGAGGAGTTGTAGACGAACATTGATTAACAAATGAAGTTAACTGAATTTAATACTAGTTGCTTTACATATCACACATTAAGTTACAGTTAAAGTGTTTCAGGCAATTGAATGTGTTACAAAAACTGTTGCAAGAAATTATCATTAAAATGTTTTCTGTTCTAAAACTTCTTTTGTTAGTTGTTATTCTCAGTGTGTGGGTTTTCGCCGAGAATTCCCTACAATATATCTACAGTGCGCTATATTGTATCGCATTGAGCACATGACCCGGGTACTTCTTAGCAAGATATGGGATTCCTCCCCGATTTCGGAAAATTGGATAAATTCCTATATGTAGTACAATGCTTCCTCTAACATGATACGTAATCACAGATACCCTAGATTCGTGGTGTACGTTATATAAGGGTTACTGAAAATAGAGTTGAGGGAAATATAAGTTCGCTAACACGGAAGTACCAACTTTGCGGACGTCATGCCACAATCGCAAGCGTCGTAGAGGCTCCGAGCTCACCTTCGTCCCCGTGCTGTGCATTTCCAGGAAGCCAACGTCCGCCGCCGACACTCTGCCCGAAGAGTACGTCGATCGCAGCAGGGCCGCCTGGGCGTGCGCCGAAGGGAAGGTGATGCCTTGGTTCTTGTAGCCGTCGGCGTTCACGTTGAGATACTCCACGGAGGCGTAGGCCCGCCGCGCGTCGCTCGCTTTCTGCAGGAACATTACGCCCACCGACTCGGCGCGCGTGAACCCGTCGGCTGCGGAAAGACATCTTCTTTCTCAGGCCTCGTGATTATGTGCAAACATTACAAATGTATTGACAGTTTGACATGGGTATTGTAAATTTAACATTTTAATGTATTGTATTGGTGGGTCGATCACTTATGTATGACATATTCACTAATACGAGTACAATTTTAATGCAGTAGATTCCAGCTTAGCGATAATCAGGGATCGCCAATTTTGATTCAGCTGGCCTGGATAGCTCAGGTCGCAAGGGCTGTAGGGCCGTATCTGCCTCGGCTCGAAGGGTCGCGGATTCGAATCCCGCCTCGGGCATGAATGTTTGTGTGTGCTGGTGTTGTCTTTACGTGTCACGTTCCCCAACAGTTACAGTAATGTAAACAATCAATGTGGTCGCTACATGGCTTTGTAGTTAAAAAGAGACCGTAAAAAAGTGTCTCATCTATCAGAGGTTCTCAATAACCGACAATCCCAAATTATAATATAGTGTTTCAAATATGATTGATTTTATTATTTCTGAAGACAGACATGTGCTTCTTAAAGATTGATGGAATGTTTCAAAAAATTGAATTATTTTCGCGTAACTTTGTGTGAAAATACGGGCGAGAAAGTACGCGCTGTTTTAGCTCTACTTGTTTAATTTATCGTTCCGGCGTCGCCCTCGAACGGATGAAAGGAAATTTCAATAATGACTGGTACGAGCAGGCGTCTCTTGTATTCTCATTCAGTTTGGTTATTTTGTGTTGCGACAACTGCTATGGTCACTAGTCCCTCAAGTGTAGTGTATGTCATATCCCTGGAGATGAAGTTGTTCCTTCCCACTGGAACGTGAGATCCGGCGTTGACCTCCACGCCAGCTCGCCGATATGACTCATGACTCGAACATTATGATTTCCCGATCAGAAAACCGGTCAGGTAATTTTTCAACAATTGTCAAAGTTCAAAATTTTTTCTACTAAAGTATTAAAGGTAGCAATTTTCTCTCAAATGATGTCTGTTCCTTAAAAATATATTTTGAAATAAGGTCAAGTACAGTTTTTCGAAAATTTGAGTGATTTCGCTTAATTTTGGGTGAAATTACTGTCGAGAAAGGACGTGCTATTTTAATGCCACTAGTTTCTTACACTTCAAGAAAGCCCGATCAGCATTAGGTATATCACGTGACGCAGAGGTGTAGATGGCTGTCAAACACGGGTACCTATCCAAAGTTGTTTTTTTAATTTGTTGCGTCTGGATTGTTGCAACGTGTCTCAAGAACCCAAGCACCTCCATTAATCTGTGCATTTGGAGTAATCCCGATTAACTGTCTTCGTCATGTCTCGTCGCAGTCGCTTGTAAAGAGGACCGCCTAGTAGCATCTCTGCATACGCGGCCCCTATTACACGCTCCTGCGCCACTACCCAGCGGCCAGAATTTGTAAGGAATTAGGATAGGGGTAGGGCTTGGAATACTTCACAGGGGTTGGACTGGCCCTTGTGAAGCAGCCGAACTCGATTTGTTAGAACAAATTTCACATGAGATTTTCCTGGAATCGACGGGATCGATGGGGATCGACCATCCTTGGTAAAGGGCGAGCGACTTCACTCTAAGCCACCGAGCAAATGCAAATTTGTCCCACGGTATGAAATATATCTTGATTGTGGTGGTGGTTATGTGGAAATATAGTGCAACGTGTGCTGTTGCTGCTACAATTTTCCATGAAATTATTTTCTATTTGTTTGCTGATCTAGGGAAACTTTCTAAATGCGTCCCATAATTTAGTTTTGTAGTTAACTGGTTACCCACTAACGAGATCATGTGTCCTGCTCTGTGAGGATGAGCTTGCGATAATGAGGATGTGGCTTATGTTTTACGTTGTTAATTCTCAGAACAATCGAGGCGCTCAGAATAATAACGGAAGATTCCTACCGAAGATAGTTTTGAAAAAAAAAATACTTTTTTGTGTTTCACGTTCACTTACATTCTGAACAAATGTTTCAAGGTGAAATTTGAGGTGTTTTCCGTAACCCAATTCATTTTATAGTTCATCATATGATAGTTACATGGCAGGAGTTTACCGTCATACTTCTAACTGAAAATGCGAGGTCAGTTGGGATCTTCAGTTATCATCCTGACCGCCACAATTATTACTAATTTTATCATATTGCTACCAGCAGTATACTTTCTATATTACTTACATCTTTCATCTAATGGAAACGAATCTCCTAATCGAGACACAACTTTCATTTGTGTAATACGTTGACTCACATTTACACTAAAAATGACACATTTTGCACACACGATTGCATTCTCGCATTCACCCATTTTTATCAAATCGCAAGCTTTTCTCATCGCAAATAGAGTGCTGGAGCACATAGTGTCGACTGTAAAACTGGGTCCTGTAAAAAGAGAAAAATATTATATCGATTATAGGATATCTATGATATTAAAAAGTAATATCAAGAAGGATTATTACACAAGGCATAAAATAGTAATTAAGAACGTTTAAATCTGTAACTTGATCTAATGGAAAATATTTTTCTCCTGCTATAGCACTTCCAACTTACGTCCGATTTGCCTTAACAATACTGACATTGTTTTCTGTTAATTTAAAAACCTGTATCTTCCTCTCATAATTAAATAATTAACGATATTAAAATGCGTAACTCTCTCTTCTCACGTTTTATTGCGCTTTTCTTTTGCTTTAGGCAGGTGAAGTTAGGTAGAGGTTATGTTTTTTCACCAGTAGTTTTAGAAAATCAAATACTTTGTTTCTTTGCCAATGTATGTATTTTCTTATACATTTTGTTAACATCACAAAAGAAGGAAATATAATTTTAACTCATATTTAATGTTTTAGTGATTATTTACTGTATAATTCTAAAAGACTAAATGTGCCTGTAACAAATATTCTACACCAGCCTCTGGGCCAATGGCCTCACATCTCGATAAGGTTTTGCGCTTAGTTTCCATGATCTTTTGGAGCAAATGCTGAGATGACCGCCTAGCTTCCTTTTTGGACATATTAAATGTTGCTTCACTATCTACTCACGTTTCCTTGAGCTTAGAGAAGAATATAGGTTTTCAAATAATCTTTCTCCATGTTCTGTCGTAGTAAATCGATTCCTTTACGTTGGGCTTGATGATGAATAATTGGCAAGATTTATAACAGATGTACCTTTGCAAATAGTCCTTACTACGGTGGAGCAAGTATTTTCTTACTAGTTCTTACCAAAAACGCTCATGGGCACCTGTATTCCTAATTCTACTATGAGAGTAGATATCCCATAACTCAAGAAAATGTGCATAAAATACATCTCCCCATTGTACGACACACAGTTTTAACAATTTTTGGCGTTAGATAAAGAAATAGGCAGGGTCAAACACTTGTTTTCAAATATTTCAGAAAACGATTATGGCCACTTTTATTCATAATTCAGCAGTATATTGTGACACCTCTAACCGTCTTACCTTACCTACCGGCTAGCTCAGATGGCAGTGCGTCATCTGCAATTGAGTGAGATGGATGGACGTTGTGTTTTAAGAATGAAAGTAGTTGATGAATGAGGTAACATTTAAAGATTAACGACTCAAAATAAAACAAACATAGCAAGAAGTGAGTTTCAACCAGAGCTCATTTTCCCCCAAATCTAAACTTTCTATGCTTAAAGTCCAACACACAAGAAAATCTTAAATCTACACTTACAGAAAATTAGTTTGCCACCTGAATTTTATTCTTGCAAATGCCCGGCTGAGAATCTTTACCTGAATTATACCGACAAAAAAAAGATTTGAGCAAGAGTCAATTTTTCAATATTGCCTGAAGGGCCTGATAGAGCCATTCCCAGGCTCCGACGCTGGTCGACGGTGCCGACGACATTCCCAGGGTCGACGATGGACATACAATGGTTTTTATATATCTAATTATTGTAGTTATTCAAAATAAGCATTTAACTCTCTCATGAGTTAATAATCGTCATTACTCTCGATGTTCTGTAGCAAGGGTTGTTGGTACAGGGTCTTGGTACAGTTTTTAAAAACAACCGCTGTACGCGGAAGGATCAAGAGAACAAAGGGAGATAAGTGGGGACTAGTAGTACAAATAGGGGAAAGGAGGGCAAAGAGGGCAAGGAGACACAATGGGGATAAAGTTAACAAAATTGGAAAGGGAGAAGAAAGGGACAAAATGAAGAAAGGAAGTCAAATTAGACAATAAAGACGAAGGGCCAAATGGGACAATGTGGTGCAAAAGGACAAAATGATGCACGGAGAAAAATGGCGCAAGGGGACAAAATGGTGCAAGGAGGCAAATAGGGTAAGGGGACAAAATGTCACAAGGGGAAATAGAACAATAGGAGAAAATAGAACGATGTGACAAAATGTGATAAATGGACAAAATGGGAAAGGAGACAAAATGGGCCGGGCAAACGGTAAGGAAGAAAAGACAAATAAGACACGAGGGACTAATGAGACAAAGGGGACGTGGCTTAAAATGGGTCGCAATGGAACAAAAACAACGGAATGGGTGGGAGAAAAGGGACATTTATCCAAAGATTTATGAGCACTGGTAACATTTTAACCAGAGAGTCCGCTAAAATATTTCAATAGACTCTCGAGGTTGAAAATGGGACGCAATGGGACAAAAATAACGGATCAGGTGGGAGAAAAGGGACATATTTATCCAAAGATTTATGAGCACTGGTAAAATTTAAACCAGAGAGTCCGCTAAAATATTTCAATAGACACTCGAGCATTTCAATGGCCGTTGCTTTGGACGCGCTCTTATTGCGCTGTTTAGATGGTCTGTTTCGAAGTTGCTAAGCGCGTGTTCAACGACGTAAATTACAAAAAAATTAATTATTTTTGTATTGATCGTAAAAATTCGATTTTTGTAGTTTGTACTACTTTTAACTTAAATGTAATTTTCAGAGCATTTAATTCGATCACAAATAACGAAATGTAGTCCAAAACTGAAATTCCTTAACGTAATGGAAAGGGGAAACTGATACCGCGTCACTGAACATAACTATTAGACGAACAAATGTTTCTCGAAGGAGAAAGTAAAAAGGAAGAGAGGACGAGGAAAGGACGGGGAGAGAAGTAGGAGGAGAAAGAAACGTAACGCACTTCATGTATGCTAGCCCCCTCGGTTGGCTAATGAGCACTTCATCCGCCTTAAGTCCGAAGTACGCTTCAAAGCAGTTTGTACTTCAAATTTTATCCATCTACAGCGTATTAAAAAAGAATAAACTTATTTCTAAACCTTATTTCTCAGTTGCCGAGAAACTTCTCAAAATGTGTCAAATGTCATTGAAAAGAGCGAGTTTCTAATTTTAAATACTCGCCAGCAGAGCGCTCAGAATGTCACTTCTTGATAGGGCACCCCCTTTCCCCGGTTAGGTGCTTATTTTAGCAATGAATGGTGATACCTCAGCAGAAAGCGTTCTCGAGTTAGAGAATTCTGTTGTCACACTGCAACGGGATTTTGGAAGGAAATTTACTATCATATCTATTCTTCGAATAAAATCCAACGATAGCTTTGGTAGTTTCAGACCAGTTAATGTAAATGCATACGAAAATGTTCTGTCTAGCGACGATTTTTTTAGGAAAATTATAAAAGAATGTAAGAGGTGTGTCAGAGTAGTTTTTGGTAACCTACAACTCGAGATAGTCAAGAAGATTCTGTAGTCCCAGCCCATTATCTTTTTCCCAAGTATGTCTATACATAAAGTCGTGTAAACGGCAACTAGATTAGGCGCTTACGCGCGATGACAAGTCAAAGCGGATAGTATAGG